CATCATAATCACCATCCATCATCACACTCAGCATCATCATGATCTGCATCATCAACATCATCATCATGATCATCATCATCCTTATCATCGCAATAGTCATCACGCCAGTCTACTTACTCATCACCATCATCAACAGCATAAGCGTCATCATCATCATCGGTATCATCATAAGTATCATCATCAAGATTCGATGCGTGTAAATGCATATCTAGAAAATTCGGAATCATGATACGAATCCTCATCATCACCCGCCTTATTATCAGCGCCATCGTCGTCATCGTCACCATCACCATCACCATCACCATCACCTCAGTCACCGTCATCACCACCATCATCAACATAGGAATAATCCATCGGCATCATCAGCATCATAAGCATCGGCACCACCATCATGACGCCATCATCATCCTCGTCATCATCGCCATCATCAGCATCGTCACCATCAGCATCGCCATCGTCATTGACATCGTCGGCATCGTTTTCATCAGCGTCCCCATCGTCGCAGCAAACCATCATCAGCATCAGTATCATCATCATCGCCATCGTCATTGAAATCGTCGTCATCGTTCTCATCAGCATCTCCATCATCGCAGCAATGACCATCATCATCATCAGCATCAGCATCATCATCATTATCATCATCCTCATCATCACCATAGTCATCATCATTATCGCCATCATCGTCGTCCCCTTTATCCCTCCTCGACATTCATCGATCCGCCTCACCGACGCCTTCTCTTCCTCCTCCCTCCACCCTTTGTCCTACCGCCTCCCGCTTCATGTGCCGTTCCTCCTGCTCACCGCCCCCGGCATCCCCCTCCACGGGGCCGCATGGCCTCGGGCTCGCGGACGCGAAGGCCAAGGCGGCACTGCACGCCGCCATGACGCACGCGCCTGCTGGACGGGTACATCGCGACTTCCTCCTCCCCAGCCATCCTCCTCCTCGTCCTCCTCCTCCTCCTCTTGCCGTTCCTGCCTCCGTTCCTCCATTCCTCGTCAGCCTGCGCCTCCTCGGACCCCTCCTCCTCCTCCTCCTCTTCCCCATCCTCTTCCTTCTCTTCCTCTTCCTCCTCCTCCTCCTCCTCTTTCCCCCCCCCTCATCAGCATCATGCTCCCCTTCTTCCCGCCCCCATCCATCCTTCGTATCTTCAAACTCTTCCCCATCCGTCCTGATCCCCCCCCCTCTTCCCCGTCCTCCACTGCCTCCCCCTCCTCTTCCTCCTTCTCCTCCTCCTCCTCCTCCTCCTTCTCCTCATCCTCCTCCTCCTCCTCATCCTTGTCCTCCTCCTCCTCCTCCTCTTCCTCCTCCCCCTCCTCCTTCTCCTCCTGCTTCTTCTCATCCTCATCCTCATCCTCATCAGCGTAGTCAGAACCAGCATCATCATCATCATCACCATCACCATCATCATCATCATCAGCATCATCATCAGCAGCATCAGCATCAGCATCATCAGCAACATCAGCATCAGCATCTTCATCATCATCATCATCATCAGCAGCATCAGCATCAGCATCTTCATCATCATCATCATCATCAGCATCATCATCATCACCATCATCATAATATGCATGTTCATCTTCATCTTCATCTTGATCATCAGCATCAGCATCGAAGCAATGACCATCATCATCATCATCAGCATCATCATCAGCATCATCATGAGCGGCAGTCGTCGTCGTCGCCAGCATCATCATCAGCAGCATTCGCACAAGCATCATAATCGTCAGCACCGTTATCATAACCACCATTATAATCATGAGCATCATCATCAGCATCAGCATCATCATCGGCATATTCATCATCCTCATCATGATCCGCATCTTCATCAGCATCATCAGCATCGTCATCGACAGCAGCAGCATCATCAACATCATCATCCGCATGAGCATCATCAGCAGCAGCTTCGTCATCATCAGCATCAGCATCAGCATCAGCAGCATCATCAGCATGAGCATCAGCATGATCATCAGCAGCAGCAGCATCATCATAATC